GTTTCTAGCATTGTACGTTGACGAATAACTCTAGCAATTCACATGTATGACGGTTATTAGGCAATCATTCGACAATCGTAATTCTGCTCAGTTCACTCTAGTGTTTCATTAGTATTGTGGCTGACAAAGATACAGATCGCGTTCATTTCTCTGTTCTCGGTCATGGGTGCCCGTGTTCAATTATTGTTCAATATCGTCCGAATCGAAAGAGCCGTGTCTTGTTGGTGAATGTCTGTGATGTAGCAAAGTTTTGTTTTAGTGCTGGCTGTGAACCGATCTGTGGAATACACCGTGCATTGCATTATTGCAATGAAAAAAGTATTCTCCATACCCACTTTTCAAGGCCTAAAATTGGTTTATTTCAAAAACAAAATGATCGATATGAGATTCTGAATCAAAATATCTGGGTTTCTGTGAGGGAAGTTTTATTGACAATTCTCATCATAACTCCGAAGGAAGGGTACTGGTACTGGTACTGGTGGGGGACGTTTCCACGTCAGCAACTAGTCCCCAATGGGACCTTTTTGCCAACCCCAAGTGTTTTCAATGACTGATGTGGTTCGCTCAAGAGAGCTGGCTAACATCCTGTTCAGGCACCGCCCATCAGCTCTCTTTTCAGAGTTTTTCAGCTGTGTTTTGTAGGCTAGTAATGTACTCACTACCATATGCGCAGTGGCAGGCCTGCTAACTATCATCGTTAACCCCCGAGACCGAGGTCTACTTAAGCAGCTGGCCCGCTCTCACGCTCAGCTGGTAGTTTTCCACACCCACCTACATACACGTAGGCTAGTAATGTACTCACTACCATATGCGCAGTGGCAGGCCTGCTAACTATCATCGTTAACCCCCGAGACCGAGGTCTACTTAAGCAGCTGGCCCGCTCTCACGCTCAGCTGGTAGTTTTCCACACCCACCTACATACACCGTCCTACTTCTTCTCTGATGCTCACAACCACATCATCATATCTTTCTGCGTGTTCTGTGTAGGCTTTGTTACTAACTCCATGCGCCACTTTAGGAGCAGCACTGTTAATTGGAACGCAACAGCGAATCGTGCAGGACTATCCCCAGCCGATGCTCCGAAACTTTACAATATTTAATTCGTAAATAAAAGGAAGGAAGGGTAAATATAAGTATTCAACTTCTCATTTCCTAATGAATTCGTCAGTAATGCATATAAGTAGATGATATTTCTCCGAACAAATCAATGAGTAATGTCAAAAAACTTCCACAGATACCCCAATATTTCAATTCAGAGACTAAACGTATTTTTTTGTTTTTTTGAAAACAATAACTTTGGATCATGAAAAGTGATAGTGTGGATAGGATATTTATTTTCATTGCAGTAATTCAAGGCACGGTTTCATAATGCATACCATCGAATAATGTTGATAACCTTATTACCACTGTTTGATGAATATACTAGAGTAGAAAAATATTGGGATAACTGTTGAAAATGAGCTACATTACAATAGCATGTCGAAATGTCAGGTTTCATGCAGATATCAGATAACTATAATAAAATGAGACGAATTACTGCGTTACCTCAAGATGGTTGTGCCAGTAATAAAAACATGCTGTTTTATGTCGATAGTCTAATAACCACTGTAGAGTGGAGAGTTACTGCAACATTTTATGGGAATAATTCCTATTCGACATTCTGTGTTATCATAGAAACTAGAACAAGTAGTAGTTATTCAGCAGCGGTGTTTTCATACAAGTTTGCAAATTGAATAAGCTGCCATAACTACAAGTCACCTGAAAATTCACTTCATCTATGGTAGCACATGAACACATCTGTCCCCTATTTATTGCAGATATCGTAATAACGGATATCAGATTTCCAATTATGATAACTCAAGTTTTCTCCCAGTGTATAAGCTGCTCATAAATTTGATTAAAATTCACGAACCCGGACCAGTGTTGTCACCTTGGTGTATTTTACCCTAGAACTGAATCTAAATGGGTCTGTTTGAGTGGAATTTCATATTTCATTATGTCGAATTACTAAATCAAACGATAATCCACTGACGCAAATCATTTTCTTGTCAGAGCTATGTACAATTTTTGAAATTTTTATTATTGAAATTACTGATATTTATCACATGAAAAACGCGGAACATTGCGTGACAATCCGACCTATGTATTGCCGAAACTTGGAGTGCCAATAATTTCCTTTGATTTTTGTGGGGCGGCCGACTCGGTGCGTTTGTCGGCGATAGGGCTGCCAAGCCGTCCTTTGTCGCCCTAACAACACAAGTACATCCTTGGGACTTCCCAGGGACGTCCCTAATTTTATACAAGGACATCCCAGAGATATCCTTTGTCGGGACAGAGTACATACTAGGGACGTCCCAGGGACATCAGCTGGCTGACAAAAAAAGCATTCAAGGGATTCCCGTCTGGTACGTCCCTGCGGATGTAGCAAGTACGAAGAAAGGATATCCCTAGGAGGTCCCAAGGATATTCCTTCCTGCCTTCTGAAGATTTATGTACCAAACAGATTTTCAAACAGGACCAATCTGCAGAAACCTGAATAAATACAACTTTGTTAGGATTTGGGTATAATTATTATCATTCGTGGATGTTTAAAAATGAGGGGCATTATGCATTTACGATTTCTGTTTGCGAAAAATGGTCATTTCTTGAGAAGTTCTGACTTTCTTTATTTTCATTACAATTATTTACCGGAAAAAAACCAAACATTCTCATAAAAATTCAACTCAATATTTCGATGAAAGTCAATGACTCTGATGTGAATAGATATCAGATATACCAAGGACACGAATTGGATAACCTATGGATGTACGGGGCCGGATGTCCATTGGACAACCACTGCGGGACATCTCCTGGATACCCCAATTATGTCCTTGTATACCGTGTGACAAAGAGGGGAAGTACCTATAGTACATCCCTGTGTTGTTAGGGCGGAGATTCTGAGCGTTCCGTAGTCTGAACCCCGTTGTTCTGGAGCGGCGAAATCGATTCTACTCAGAAAAAGTTACTGGTATCACAAAATATATATCAACGCCGATTTCATGATTATATTATATCGTGGCATATTGACTGGAAATGTGTAGCTGTTTTCTGTTGATTTCATCTCTTCAAATATACCAAAAAAGAATTCATATTTTTCAACAACTAGATATACTGTAAAAAATGGTTCATAAGCTTGCAGCATCAACTCTTGTAATCCAATAAATAAATGAATTCTATATATGTTCCAATAGTTATGACTCACTCTGTATATTATGCCTATTATAGATTGTAATAACATCTTGTATATATATTTTGTTTTGAGGTTTTTCCTTGACGACATAAAAACTTTGAGATAATAAGTAATAAAATATTGTTATAAGAAGATCACCTTCTTTAATTTGTGATATTCATTACAAAATGGCGCAGTCGGAGCAAGAATTTATGCAGATAAATTATGGAAATAATTCTGGAAGTGCTGGAGATAATCATTCCAACAAGGATTACATAAGTATTGGAAAAGATGAATTGGATAGAATGATGTCAAAATGGTTGACGCTCATGTCATGTGCGAGCCCAGATAGAAACGGACCTTGTATAATATGCATATTGTTTGTTTTCATGGATTGTTTAGTTTTGATTGGAAAAATAGTTGAATGAGAAAGTTGTTAAAAAAAAAATAATAAATAACTTGTCAAGACAAAACGTCAATAAAATCTAAAAAGACGAAAATATTATTTATTTATTGGCCAGACGGTTATTTTGAGCAAGGCAACAACATTTGGTGACCCATGAGACTCGAAGAAATTATCACATTCAGATTGATTCTATTATCAATATTTTGTAATGTCTTATTAATACAAAACTTTAAAATGGATACAAATTGAGTAAAAAAAATAATCAAGGAAAAAGGCGTGAGATGTTTTTCCAGATATACAAATTATATTGGTCTAGGGCCTAGGCAAAGTATGACAAGTTATTCACAAGGGAATTTAAAAAAACGCCACGGAGTAGGAACCCAACTGAGTGAGAGATCATAATATGTTCTTCTCTCTTCCGTCTTCCGCAAGGAACCGAGGAAAAAATCAATACTGTCCAGTCCATGGGATTCACCGACCGTAGCAAACATTTATTTATCGGAACCGGTCGGGCGGGTCGGGTCGTAGAAGATAAGGATAAACAAAAATTTCTGGAGCGATAGCACGCGGTGGGATGGGATCTGTAATTCTGTACAAAAGTGTAGTAATCTGTACAATTGATTCAGACATGTTCTGTGTGCCTAGTGGAGTCGCTACCTCACAGTGGCTAAACGATAGACGAGGGGATGAGAGGGGCATACTCGCAAATAACACAGGTTGGGCATCTTCCCAGCGTAAGCATAATATATCAATCAACGATATTATTATATGCACTGGAGATGGCTTTTGTTGTGCTATACTTCAGAAAAATAAGCCAATAATACCAAATCTGAGAAAGATCTGTAACAGTGTTCTTATCTTCCCTTCCACTTTGTTATCACTTAAATTACTAAACAACCACTAAGTTGGCAATTTTTAAAAATCCAATAACATAATTAGACTGACAGATACTTGATTACTTCAAAAGAATGACAGATGCTGCAAAACAAGTGTAATTCAAATTTCATGCTGGTAATTTTCTGATTTTAATGTAATAAATATCTTCTAAATATTGATTCCTCCTTCTTCAATCATGTCACAGAAAAAAATAGTGTATTATACATAGGAAAAATATCAGATTTTAGCTCATGGTTTTTTGTCTCCCTCTGCTATGCCTTGGGGGATGACAGAATCTTGAGCTAACATCTAGAACTTTTTTCCCTTGTATAATAAATAACTAATTAGAATTTCACTTTTTGCAGCCTGTATCTTTTCTATGAGCAATCTATATCTAAGCTAGCTCAATCAAATCATACTACCTATTCATTGGATAGTTAAAAATTTACTACACATTTTATTACTAATGGACCACCCAGTATGTATGTAAAAAATAAGTAGTACACAAACCTGTATACATGAAGTTCACAATGGGAACAATTACATCTGACTGAAGATCACCAGGCATCATAATGGTATTTTCTTCCACAGCAGGATAGTTTCTTTCCAAAATTGTGAAGTATTCTGTACAAGCATTCATAACAAGTCTGTGAACTTTCAGCTGAACATTTCCCTCAAACTGTAGGGTTAGGTCACAGTAATCTGTTTTACTGAAAAACATCTGAAGACGCTGGAGGAAAAACACCCCCCAGTTGTCCACCCGGACTTGCTTGGAGCCTTCTACCATTTTCATGTAGTATTATTATTCAACCTAAAAAAAAAAACAGCTAAAGTAGATCATCGTAAGATGCTTCAAGTAGCAAAATATCATTGATGAACCATATCATGTTCAATAAATTCGAAAATAAATTGTTCATCAGATTTGCAGTTCCATAATACAAACAAATTTCGAAAATGGGCTGTGTTCCATAACAATGAAGTAGGTATGAAACAAAAATGGCAATCGGCGTCTAGATAGTGAAGTCACCAAACAAAAATCGATTTCATATGGGAAATCAAAAATGGAAAGAGAACTGAAATGCATTAAAAACTATGAAAATCACAATATCCCATCTTATACAATTTCAAATTTACTGACCTTACACTTATTCGAAAAATATTAGCTCCATCTCATCTCAAGCTACCAAACATTATTATCGGAGATTTTCTGAAATTGTTTGAAGGAAAGGAAGAGAGAAGAGCACGATGAGAAGGGCAAAAGCATTTTATTGTCAAATAATGAACCAAGGTGGCGCTATTTCTACCGCGAAATTTGAAAACCTTGAATTTGATTCCCAAACCCACAATCACGACACGACTACAATGCACATTCTTCACGAAATATTCATTATACAAGATTACAAGATCGAATGAATTCAGGATGTGTGATAAGACTGTCAGTTTCATATTTCTATCCTCGATTCTATGCATTAATATATATATATAATATGAGGAACAATAATTATTAATATTACACCTCACCACTGCAGATGAGGGATATAGGGTGTGATAAGTGAATCAGAATATTGTAGATGTAGGTTTTCTTTTTTAATATCTTCCACATGCGTAGGAGCAGGTCGGAGCAGGTAACACTAATGTGCGAAAATATCAATAAATCGTTCAGTTCAGTAGTAACAGATGGCGCTGAACTAGAGCTAGATCAAGGTTGGTAAAACTGATAGTTATCTGCAAAAGAGGTTGCCACGAACCACAATCCAAATACAGTAACCATCAGCTACCAACGCATATGCGCTTGCAAATCCGTATCAAGGTGGGATGAGTTTTTCGAGCACTTTCCAATTCCAAGTATCTGGACTGGAAGGAACTCAGAAAGTGCTGAAAAACGCAAGCGCATATACGTTGGTTGCTGAGCGCTCTCACCAATGGTCCATTGGGATTTGTTGCCCTGTATAAAATTCACTCTATGACCAAGTGGGGTCATCTTCAGTAATATACTGCTCGTCAACAGTCATGGAACCACCACAATTTCCGGAAAATGATATTAGGAGTCAAAGTAGGTCGAAAAATTAAATTTTGTCGCACTTTTTACGGAAGCACCCCCGTGTCTTACGTAATTGACTTTATCCTTGGACTTTCCCTTCCTCCTGCAAATTTCAGAACCCTACCTCAATGATTACGTGAGATACGGGGGTGCTTCCATGAGAAGTGAGACAAAATTCAATTTTTCTGAACTGAAAATTTTCTAGGAAAACTATGAATAGTTAGTAAATTGGGCGTCCTGATTCCGAATCCGAAGTGATTTTCAACCTATTTTGAATCCGGAAATTAGTGTGGTTCCAATATGGCTGTTGGCGAGCAGTGTATATTACTGAAGATGACTCCACTTGGTCCTAGAGTGCATTTTTGGTATATCTCTCGCTCCAGCAAAGGATCAGTACCCCACCATTACGTAAGATACAGGGATGTTTCCATTAGAAGTGGGTCACACTGTATGTGTAGGGTGGTATAGAAGACCAATCAGACGATTTTGGCAATTCATACCCCTATTATATTTACGGTAAATTCGAATAACGAATGTTATTTCTACATCATAGTAATAGCCAATACCCTTATAATTAGCACAGAATCAAGTATACTGGATCGCTCTCGACCGATCCTGAACAAAAATGTCATTGAAATATAGCGATTCACTATTGGCCTCAACAGTAGTTCTTTTTTTCAGGGAGGAAGGAGAATATTCCTTCTGCATAAGAAAGGATATTACTTTTTTCAAACATGAACCTATAATGAACCTTTCTTTCTAAAAAGTATATTTTTCAGGAAAGCACTTGAGAAATTAGATTTAAAAAGAAAAGCCGACCGTTAAACAGGCCCGGACAGGACTGGCTGGCAACCGGGCAAATGCCCATCAGTGGGCCGGTGTCAAAAACCGGGACTGGGGGACCACGGTAAAGAATTTCGCAAGGCACTGATTCAATACGAATGTCGTTTCCAACAGCTTTGAATTTATTCATACCATTTATAGTTTTAGTTTTTCAGTCAAGTATACTTATATCGAACAAAAAAAAAATTATTACCCGGCCAGATAACACCAACCATCATCGGCCCAACATTACTTTCCCGCCGTCGAGGTGCCCAGGCGTTACGGCGGCCGCCATCCGGCCCTAATACACATTACCGGCGATTAAATTATTGACTTAGAAGTGCTACATATCAGCGGCAACAAATTTCAATGCACCATTGATGGGAGGCATGGGGGAGCGCTCAGCCACCAACTAAGAATACTAAGGTGCCTCCACCAACGTATATGCGCTTGCAAATCCGTTTCAAGAAGGATGAGTTTTTCGATCACTTCCCAAGTATCTGCGGCCACGAACTACTAACTATAAATGCACACATGTGTGCATTTATAGTTAACTGCAGTTTGTGGTATTCAGAGTTACAAAAGCATTAAGAATCTGTAAACGCGTAATCAGGACCGTTTGAGATAAAAAAACATGGATCTAAAATATTTCCACATTTTTTATAACTCTATATAATAACAAAAAAAAAATCAACTTTTGCACCACTTAACCGGTCACACTTTTTATCATCACATAGATAAACGATATTCAATCTATGATCATCATATTATAATGGAATTACTATTATTTATATACCCAAGAAAACGGACCTAAAAATTGGAGGCTGGTCTAAGAAAATACCCGGTAGCAAAATAGTCACCAGTCCGGGCCTGTTTGTAGAACATAATAATATTTTTATCTCGATTCTCGCACGGTGTTTTATGATCTAAGATTCTCACTTCTCGTTCTCGCATCTCAATATAAACGCCAGATGGCAGTAAACTGAAAACAAATAGCAAGGTTATGTTGTATCGTTTGCTCTACCAACCTTAAATATTCATTTCAAATCAAATGTCAAAAAATAATGGTAGGTATCATTCAAATAGATTTTCTCGACAAAAAATAGCAGCTTCTGTTTTCTGGTTTCCACTAGTGAACATCTTCTCCCTCTAAAACCTTCAATAATAGCATTATTATTAAAATATGTTATTTTTCCACCAAAATTTTTATAATCGCTATAATAGTGTACTAGAGTCTAGAGTAGAGGACTAGTAGAGCTGGGCAATATTGAAAATTGAATATCGAATATCGATATTTGAAAACTATCGATATATCCCATATTCGATATACGGAATATTTGAATATTCGACATTTCGAAGTATCGAATATTTGAATATTCGCATATATCGAATATTGGAAAATAAGATATATAGGATATTTGAATAATCGGATATTCGAATATTATTTTATACAAGGTGTTTCTAAAATAGGTGGTCAAACTTTGGGAGCATATAGAGTGGGTGAAATAGTTACGAAAACCTCCGTAACATTTTTTTCTGAAGTGACCCCCAAGAAAGATACAGCCCCTCAAAGGGGGGCCTCAGTGAATGATTTTGAATTAGTATCTCCAACACCTTGTGTAATGAAAATCTGAAATTCTGTCCATCCACTTACTATTCAGTGCCGGTTCGAATGAAGTTAAAATCACCTCAAAATTAAATACAGGGGTGTGTCAAAATAAGGAGGAAGGGGGTAAAAATAACCCCAACTTTTTTGTTCATCACAATTTCAGTTTTTTTACATGAAATTATGAAATCTCAGGGCTATTAACATAGAAAAGGAGCTCTTGTTGAATCTCGATAAAATGAACCATTAGCGAATAAAATTTATTTTTCCAAGATTTCATTTAAATTGCAATTTTGGTGTGCGCTCAAGTTTAATTATCTAGTTCAAATCTTGCAACTGAATTTTTACCTACTTCTAATCGTCTGATCAACTTGGAATCTGGCAGATGACAGTTGATAACGCGTTATGGACTTTTTGATAGAAAAAAATATGGCGGCTCCAATGTGGCTGACCAGATTAGTGATTATGGTCCGATCCGATTCAAAATTGGTTTGTAAGGGTTTTTGGGGTTGGAAATTTTGAATTCGTTGTCGGAATTCATGAATTAAAAATAGACGACGATTTTCGTGATTATGGATGATCCTATTGAAAATAAAATAAAAAATATTGTAAAAAACAAGCTTTTATTAATTCAACTATTGAAATACAAAATCGAAGATGAAATAAGGTGAATGCTCTAAAAATGAGAAAAAAATGCTTCTAGATATCTTCTTCCACTTCCTGGAGCATTTGAATGGAAGCATTATTATCACTGATTTTTTTTCTACCTTATTTTATTACATTTTCATACAACATAACTCCAACGAAATTGAACGTAGAATTTAACACTGAGTTAGAGAGCATAGCAGGAATGTAAGAGAGGGATGATGAAGTTTTCGATTAGTAAGATTCTGGAGAGAGGCAAGTTGTATCACGATGAAATAGTGAGAGATCCGCAACATTTCTTCAATTGCAATTTGAATGAAATCTTGGAAAAATAAATTTTATTCGCTAATGGTTCATTTTATCGAGATTCAACAAGAGCTCCTTTTCTATGTTAATAGCCCTGAGATTTCATAATTTCATGTAAAAAAACTGAAATTGTGATGAACAAAAAAGTTGGGGTTATTTTTACCCCCTACCTCCTTATTTTGACACACCCCTGTATTTAATTTTGAGGTGATTTTAACTTCATTCGAACCGGCACTGAATAGTAAGTGGATGGACAAAATTTCAGATTTTCATTACACAAGGTGTTGGAGATACTAATTCAAAATCATTCACTGAGGCCCCCCTTTGAGGGGCTGTATCTTTCTTGGGGGTCACTTCAGAAAAAAATGTTACGGAGGTTTTCGTAACTATTTCACCCACTCTATATGCTCCCAAAGTTTGACCACCTATTTTAGAAACACCTTGTATATAGGAATTGGATAAATAAATATTCGAATATTCGATGTATCGAGAAGTTTAATAAATATTCGAATAATTGATAAATCTCAAAGTTGAATATGTATTCGAATATTCGAAATATCGAATATTCGAATAAGTATTCGACTATTGGATGAAATAATATCAGATATTCGATATATCAAAATATTTTAACCAGAATATAGTTATTCAATATCTCTACTCATGCGCACCAGGTGGCAGTGGGATTCGTTGTGTATTTCAAATTTATTCTGATCATATTCAATAATCTTGTGTGTGCGCATGGCACCGACTTTGTGAACGAGGTACCTACTTTTCACCGAACTGTATCGAACGTTTGTCATTCGACCGCTTCACACCGATACGTTCCATATATACAGGGTGTCCCGTATAGACTACGTCAAACCTAGGGAGAATATAGATCAAAAGATAACCCACCTGCTATAACCTAATTTCCATTATGAAAGACCGTTTTCGAGATATTTTTTTACTGAAAAAATTGAATTTCTGCCCCTATCAATAGTTTCGTCTGTACGGTTGGTACAATTCCACACCTTTTTGGTTCATTTTTTCAGTAAATATTGCTGAAGAATGATTTTATCGTATACATCAAGAACATTCTCCGAAAGGGGGGCAAATATTCAAATATTCAAATATTCAAATATTCAAATATTCAAATATTCAAATATTCAAATATTCAAATATTCAAATATTCAAATATTCAAATATTCAAATATTCAAATATTCAAATATTCAAATATTCAAATATTCAAATATTCAAATATTCAAATATTCAAATATTCAAATATTCAAATATTCAAATATTCAAATATTCAAATATTCAAATATTCAAATATTCAAATATTCAAATATTCAAATATTCAAATATTCAAATATTCAAATATTCAAATATTCAAATATTCAAATATTCAAATATTCAAATATTCAAATATTCAAATATTCAAATATTCAAATATTCAAATATTCAAATATTCAAATATTCAAATATTCAAATATTCAAATATTCAAATATTCAAATATTCAAATATTCAAATATTCAAATATTCAAATATTCAAATATTCAAATATTCAAATATTCAAATATTCAAATATTCAAATATTCAAATATTCAAATATTCAAATATTCAAATATTCAAATATTCAAATATTCAAATATTCAAATATTCAAATATTCAAATATTCAAATATTCAAATATTCAAATATTCAAATATTCAAATATTCAAATATTCAAATATTCAAATATTCAAATATTCAAATATTCAAATATTCAAATATTCAAATATTCAAATATTCAAATATTCAAATATTCAAATATTCAAATATTCAAATATTCAAATATTCAAATATTCAAATATTCAAATATTCAAATATTCAAATATTCAAATATTCAAATATTCAAATATTCAAATATTCAAATATTTAAATATTCAAATATTCAAATATTCAAATATTCAAATATTCAAATATTCAAATATTCAAATATTCAAATATTCAAATATTCAAATATTCAAATATTCAAATATTCAAATATTCAAATATTCAAATATTCAAATATTCAAATATTCAAATATTCAAATATTCAAATATTCAAATATTCAAATATTCAAATATTGTCCTAGTTAGAGGTGGCAAACTATTGATAGTATGTACTATCGATAGTTTCGATAGTTGAAAAAAAAAACAATCGATACTATCGATAACTATCGATCCAATCCTAAAATTGTGACATTTGACGTAGAACATATAATTTCAGTAAATTGACCACAGAAGTTGACTTTTGGAGATGTATTTAATACCCCTGCCAACCAAGGAGCCCAAGGACATTGACAACTGACAAACGATAAGGGAATTGACGATGACAGCAGACAGAAGACTCGATCTCAAAAAGTTCTTGATTTGTATAAAAGTGATCAAATTTAAGGCGCAGACATCAACGCCAAGGATCAGCTGCAGCTCAGAGTTCAGAGATTGAGATTATAATCATCTCATCAGAGATGAAGAAATTTGAAAACATTAACATTGACAATTGTGTCGCTTTGTCTCCTGACAGGTTGTCACTAAGAATCTTTTTTTATATCGCATGTCCATTGCTCCACTATCAATAGTGCATAATGTTCCTAGAAAACTATCGATAATATCGATAGTACCATCGATAGTTTGCCATCTCTAGTCCTAGTCACTATTGTTTTTGTCACGTGTCTATTTGCAGATAGATATAATTGAAGGACAACATGACATGTACCATGACGTCAAATATAGTCGTCGATACAAACAAGACAAGCTTGCTATTTCTTTTCTTATTTTAGAAATAGTACTTATTACTCATTAATTATCATAACATGCTACATACCTACCAACCGAAACGTGGTTTGTGAGTCCTGGTGGTTGTGATTTTAATTATAATAAAAATAATATTGGTCCGTGAAAACAAACAATAACATTAATAGAACATATTTGTGAATGTAATTTTCTTCTCTTCTTACGTCAGTGCTGGATTGTTGATTTGTGATTTGATCGTTTTTCACGCGGAAGTCTGCTAGTGCTACTAGAACAATATTAAATAACAATAACAAAAGTCGAGACAGTGGTGCGATTTGATGAACCTTTTTAAATAGTGACATGAAAGTTTTGTTGAGTCATCATTCTTGCCACTCTGCCTCGCACTCTGCACTTGCAAAACTTAGGACTGTAAACAATTGTGTGTCTATTTTGATTTTTGAGTGAATCTAACAATTTTTTTGAAGTGAGTATTAATTTAGAGTACCTGCCACGGCCACCCACAAAAAAGGTAATAAAAGTGATAAAGATATAGCTATTATAAGGTATTATGGTAATATGTGGTGGTAATTCATCAAACCAGAGTAGGCATGGCATGGCTGAGCATGGTGGTATGTTTTTGTTTACATTGCATTCATGTCACATCAAAAAGAGAGAAGGGGAATATTGCTACAATTACTATTGTTTGGGAGAATGGGAATATCCAATTTAAAATTGTATCAATTATAAATTAGATTTGAGATACCTGCCTACTAATCTTACAATTACCTAATATTTTGTCTAAAATATGCTTCATAGCCACAGGCTAGTAAACCAGTTGGTAAATTGAATAGAATCATAAATACTGGATAAATACCAATCAGGGGCATGCTTTGTCATAGGAATTTATGTTTATTAATGGATTTTCATTGATATTTGTATGTAGGTACTTATTATGTTTTCATTTTCTATTCATTAATGCATTATTCTGCTTGATTTATTCAAAATTCAAATTTATCATTATACAGGGTCCCTTAATTTCATACTTCCATAGTAGCTCATTAAATTGGTATGGATAATGATCCTCTCCTGGAAAAATTCTAGGATAAATTCAAGTAGTGGGTTTCTCTTTAGTTTTATTATATTTTTGGGGGTGCTGAATATGAATCTGAAGTTTGCAAACAAAATTTCCTGGAGCTTTTCAAGATATTCACAAAAAACAGACATTTTCACACTTTTTTCAGTTTTTGGACCATAACTCTGAAATATAGTTTTAGGTATAAGACCACCCCATAAAAAGTTGAAGTAGATGAAAGTTTTTATATGAATATATGATTGAATAATTGTTCTTGCTCATGAATGTAAAGGCTGAACGAGAGGCTGAATTACCTGAAACAGGTCCACCTGATGTCTCCAGAGGTTGAAAATGTAACCATCAAGAAAATTCCATTAAGATGATGGCAGATGATGATAATCCCTGCAATCTACAATCTAATCCCCCCTACATCATTGTTTGGCAGGGGCTAGCACCCTGAAGGATCTGGTCCTGAAGGTGGATTTGGTGCAGGGGGAGCAGATGGCTTGAGAATACTCAGGCTATTCCACTTTCTGATCTGATGCTATATGAGAGAAACTTGCTTTTTTCCTCTTCTTGCATACCAAGAGGCAGGTGTGAAAAACATTATTCTACCTAGTTGTAGTAAATATACCTAAGTGCTGTGACAAATCAAGAATCCAGTTACACAATGACAAAATCACATGACCAGGACTCCTCCACATCAGGCAGTGCATAGTTTGTTTCTTCTATTGATGCTTAAATTATGAATCATCTAAGAGAACTAACAAAGAACACAATTGTTTGCAACATACACAAATTTTGTCTATTTTCAAGTTGCTCTAGCTCCTCACCCATTAGTCCTACATTCATGAGTAAAATCAATTTTACTGCTAATTTTATATAGGAAATTTCATTGACGTTAACTGTTTTTGAGGTGATCTTTTCACTAAAATGTATAGCTTTTGAGTTACCAGCAAAGAACTGAAAAAAAGTGCGAAAAATTTCAATGTTTTTTTGTGAATATCTCAGAATGCTCCAGGAAAAACACCCCCAAAAACATGAAACCACAGAGAAACACTTCTTGAATTTCTTCCACCTGCAAATACCTACCATTTTATTGGACTAAAGGGACAGTACCTATAATGCACTTTTTTTCACTGAGAGATATACCAGTGTGAAAGCAGCAAGGAATTAGGTCATCAAGGGTAGGCTGCAGAGAGATTATGGTGATACAACAAAAAAACTCACTCAAATCGAAATGGAAGTGAAAATAATATGAATTTCATGATTTAATTCTCTACAGAAAATGGAAAACACTTCACTAGACAATGTCAGATACTTGTCTAATTTTGTAGCACCCATTTCCACCCCTCTTCCACCCTCTTTTAAAATTGATTCAAGTTCCAACTGAGAGCTCAGGAATTGATTTTTGAAAGATTTTTTTCTTGAAACATAAGCTTCCTGAACAGGATCAAATAGTTGTCTGATTTTGTAGCATCAATATCACTGGTTATTTCATTTCTATGGGGGACTTTGCTCCAAGTTGCCAACCTACAAACCTCTACCAATGTAGAAGCAACATTATGGAAGTTTTATTACTCAAATTGCTTCATTTTGATGAAACCTATTCTGATCACCAATAGAAGTTATTCAGAAGGAAAATTATTTTTTTCCAGTTCTGATTAGTTGAAAATTATGTTGATGCACATGCTTTCATTCTGAAATATATCATATCATCATCAATTTTATTACTTGTCACATTTTTGTTACATATAAATGATCTTGAGATTATTTTATTAATGGACAACACTATTATTCATAATTCTTTGGTAAATAAGTTTGATCATTACAGAACAAACTAGGAATATATTTCATTTGAGTGCTAAAATTCGATCCAGACATGACTTCCTAAGAATAAAATGATGAAGTTTCAACCTTTCCTGGATTATAAATAACCCAAGGAAGTGTCTTTGAGTGGATGATAGTGATGAAACCATACCTCTGTGGAAACGAAGATATCATAAATGGAAACACTAACATACAATGAGCATTTTTTTAGTAAAAAAATAAAAAATGGAAAATAATTCATCCAATAAATACTATTCAAGCTTACTTGGCTCACCTTGGATAAAAAGTGGTCAAAGTTTCCAATAATTGTGTGGGAATACAACAATATCAAGTTAACATAACCTTTATACATATAATTAGGCACAAATAGTTTAAGGGTAGCTGAAATCACAAGACTATTCAAACATCACAATATTTATTATAACATGAGATATTATGGGTAGTGAGGAAATATAAATGAACAATAAATAGTTGAGACCTGAGAACATGTTATGTTGATTACCATTATGATGAATCAAAAGTAGCCCCAGACCAGATAACTTTGGAACCCTCACATCCAGTTTATTATATGTGTTGTTCAATGTTCAATGAGTAAAGACAAAATTGCCGTTGTTGTTTTCCGGGAAACTCATACTGGATGTCCAAAATAATCAATGTTTGGGCAGGAATATTGGGAAACCATATTGCAGGGCCTCTAGTCATTGAACAAAATTTAACAGGGGAACTGTATTTGAATAAGCAGGTAAATACTTTTGATCCTCTAATCATATTGTATTCCAACAAGATGGAACTCCATCACATTACTCCAGACAAGTAAGAAACTATTTGGATAATACTTCAAGGTCCTATGGAATGGCCAGCCCGCTCGCTAGATTTGACACCTCCAGTCTTCATTTTATGGGGCTATAAGAAGCAAAAAGTTTACAAAACTGAACCTGCTTCAGTATTGGATATACAGCAGAGAATAGCAAATATTTGAACAAATATCAACATAACTGTGTTTGAAAATGTTCAGCGTGAAATATCAAATAGGTTGTTTTTATGTCAAGAAGTTCAAGGTAACCATTCCGAACTGAACTCGGCTTATTTTCTCAATTATGAAGTTGAATGTAGATGTATTTAAGCAATTATTAAATGATACGCCATTTTGTGCTAGGTGACTATATTGTATTATACTGTAGTGTTGTGAAGTATTCCCCAGGAGCTTCAAAAGGATGTGTTACAAGACCGCTCTTTCCATTTAATTTGTTTTCCTAGATGGCGCCCTGAAATTTTCATCGGTTGCCTTTACTCAAAAATATAGTATTCATTATCCCAAGTTTCAATATTCTGAGTTGGCCCGTACAAAAAATGGAAGGGCGGGGCATTGAAGGAAAGAACATATATTAGCTGTAGAGTCTATGCAAAATCAGTTGGAACAACACATCACCACGGGCCATCGGTCCCTTTGAAAGTTCAAAGAGAGCGGCAGCGCGGCCCGGCATTCCTCTTTTTTTTTTTATTTTTTTTTATTCGGAAGTGCTGGCAAAAGATTGGACCTATAATCCCGTGGTGGAACTGGGAGCACTAAGGAGGGACAAATATCGATGGATCCTCCTCTTGAAAGAAAATAGATTGTAGTTCACTGGAAATACATCTGTGGGTAAAGAATTCCACAGCGAAGAAGGAGTTCTTGAAATATGTTGTTCTAGGTGTTTCAATTTTGACTGCATATTGGTGTGAGACTTGAGCCAGCCGCGTTTGGCGAACAAGGGTCATTCCAGGGGGGACAGCTGATGACAATTCAACAGAGCATCGTCCATGATAGTAGCAATAGAAGAGTGATAGGTCTGCAACGTCTCTCCGATGTTGTGAAGTTTGCAGTGATCCTGTCAGAGCTGGGTCATTGATGAGCCTGATGGCTCTTCTTTGAACCGACTCCAGCAACCTCAGGGAGTGGTTTGGAGCTGATCCCCAGACGTGCGAACAGTACTCAAGGGATGGTCGAATCTGGGCTTTGTTGAGTGTCAGAGGCTGTTGTGAGGTGAAATACTTCTTCGCGCGGAAGAGGTATCCCAGCTTTTGAGAGGCAGCTCTGGCTATATTGGCAACATGGTCATGCCAAGATAAACTGTCAGATACTGTGATGCCGAGCATTGATAGTGATGAACTGATTGGTAAGGTTCTTCCAGCCATAATTGTATCAGGACCCGCACGGTTAGCCTTAGAAAAAACTGTTGCTTGAGTCTTCAAAGCGTTGAATTGCACGTGGTTCAAATTGCCCCATTGTTGGATCCTTTCCAAATCGTCGTTGACGGTCTGGATCTGTTGCAAACGTTGCCTTGGTTGGTTGCTGCGGATATTGGTGTATCAGAGGAGTATGATACTATAAAAGTGGTATCGTCAGCAAAACTGAAGAGAGGGTTGGTAGTCATGTGCAACAGATCGTTAATATGTAGTAAGAAAAGCGTTGGGGATAGAATAGAGCCCTGTGGTACTCCTGCATTGGTAGGCAGTTTGTCTGAAGTAATCCCGCCAACAACTACATGGAGACTTCGATCTTTAAGGTAATCCAACGGCATAGTAGGGGCGGCAGACCATTGGAAGGCAACTTGTTCAGGAGTGCCTGGTGTCATACTCTATCAAATGCTTTAGATATGTCTAGGGCAATAGCCCTAGATTCTCCGTGTTTTACTAGAGTTGAGTTCTAGATGTGGGTTACATATGCTAAAAGGTCGCCAGTTGATCTGTGTTGCCGAAAGCCATATTGCCTATCAGAAATGATGTTGTTGTTTTCTAGATATCTTATGTTTTCTATGTTGATGGCGTTTTCCATTACTTTCGAGATGACGGATAGTAAAGCAATTGGACGGTAGTTGGCGGGCTCTGATGATCTATTTCAACTGACTTAGCATAGACTACATGATTCATGTGGAAAATAAATAATCCTCTATTTACTATTTGCATTATTAGATTCATCACATCAGTTCAATTTCCTCTATGTGTTTTCAGATACATAATTATCAACAATGGGTGAATTTGGCAAGGACTTCTTCCTGGACCCAGGGATTTCCATCAAACAAGAACCGGTCAATGAGTCATCCATTATGAACATGTCAGCTAATCAGTAATCCAACGGCATAGTAGGGGCGGCAGACCATTGGAAGGCAACTTGTTCAGGAGTGCCTGGTGTCATACTCTATCAAATGCTTTAGATATGTCTAGGGCAATAGCCCTAGATTCTCCGTGTTTTACTAGAGTTGAGTTCTAGATGTGGGTTACATATGCTAAAAGGTCGCCAGTTGATCTGTGTTGCCGAAAGCCATATTGCCTATCAGAAATGATGTTGTTGTTTTCTAGATATCTTATGTTTTCTATGTTGATGGCGTTTTCCATTACTTTCGAGATGACGGATAGTAAAGCAATTGGACGGTAGTTGGCGGGCTCTGATGATCTATTTCAACTGACTTAGCATAGACTACATGATTCATGTGGAAAATAAATAATCCTCTATTTACTATTTGCATTATTAGATTCATCACATCAGTTCAATTTCCTCTATGTGTTTTCAGATACATAATTATCAACAATGGGTGAATTTGGCAAGGACTTCTTCCTGGACCCAGGGATTTCCATCAAACAAGAACCGGTCAATGAGTCATCCATTATGAACATGTCAGCTAGTGTGCCGATTCCTTCTAGACGTGACTTAACAGACTACAGAGACTTTGGAATCGATTTCGATAATTCTCAGAGCCCTCTCTACGCAGATCTAGGTTTCACTGCCCAAATTCAGACACCAGGAATGTACGAAAGTAACTGTTGGGGAATCAACAGGCTGATAAACAATGATGAGATGTTGAAATGCGAATCATTCATTCATATGGACGAAGATGATATTTTTCAAGTGGATAAAGCGGATTTGATTCAAGGTCCTACTTTGGCAGAATTGAATGCAAATGATGATAATTTACTAGGTAATGTAAAAAGTGGTTTAATATGCTCCACCTCAGTTCTGTTTTTTCATATATCTCTGCAACACTCAACTCATACAAATTTTCCAGCATAAAAGTTTCTGTTCTATTATGATCCAAAATGAACAGAAAACATCTGGAATATCTATAAGGCCTTATTTCAAATTGATTTTGAAGTGAAAAAATCGCTTGCATTAGTATACCGGGTGGCTATGGAAGTATTGCCTACGGAATATCTCAGTTATTGTATGAAGTAGGTTTGTGAAATTTGGAGCGTCGATATAATGACGTAAGAGCTAGAATTTGAGTATATTGACATGTCGAAGTTAACTTCCGGTCTGACCGGAAGTAACATCAACTTTCTTATTTTAAATGGAAACCCTATTTTTTTTCTTTTCGCTTTATTCAGCATTCAATTCCTTTTCTAATGACATTTCACAAGTTGGTATCTAACCAGAAACTAGATCAGAAAAAAATCTGTTTTTTTGTTATTTGAAGAATATTGAAACACACTATATAAAGTGACTGAATCCAGGTTCTCAGTAATTCAGGGAAAATTAATGTAATAAATTGTCAGTCTTCTGTAACTTGAAATTTTCTGCATTGACAAATAAAACAGAGTTCTCTTTTCTTCAGGTGATCTGAACTTTGATGACCTACTACTCCCTGAAGAGAGTACCTACATTATTTTGGAAAAAGGAAACCCTCATACGCCCGAACGCCATCATATAAGTAACTCCGCTTCACCATTTCTACCACAGAACAACATGCTCCAAAAAGAGATTGATTCACCATCTAGTGTTCCTACAGGTATGATATAGATTTTCAATAGAACATTTGATTTCCACAATGATTTAGATGTCTTATTAGGTCAATCTGCTTGACAGCCTACTTGATAAGCTGAAATGTTACTCACAAGTTATTCGTCAGATGGCGACACATATTTTGCAGAATTACAGTTGCAAAATATATTATTGGCATTTGAAGTTATGCTATTTTCAAAGTGGAAGTACAAAGTTTGCCAATTGTATCTACCTGCTTCTAGTATCTATCTCTATTGAAAAACATGGGGCACATGCAGCAGATAATTGATGCATTGATAGCTAAGAATACATTTTATTGCACCGCCAATAATGTGAACCCATGATTGAGTTATTTCATTTTGATAGCTACTCTCTATACTCTTTATGATTATGTATTGCATGTGCCCCATGTTTTTAGTTTCCAATATTACAAGTATTTCAATAGCTGTCGGAAGTTGCCAAGAACGACTTTTCAGGATAATTTAGAAAAACTTATATAAATTATTTTATACTTTTTAGTTTCCTTAAATAAACTTGGTACATTAAAAATGTTTTTCATTTAATATTATCATTTTCTGGTTTTTATGGTTATGTGAATGAAAATTTGGAATTGATTTTAAATACTTTGATGACTTCATTCGGTAAATTTCAGATTTAGTTCAGTCTTTTTTTTTCTGGTTATATTTGAAATGTAAAAATGTCATGTTTACTTACCAATACTACATCAAACTATTCAATTATCATTTCAGAAATGAAATGAGGAAGCAAATAAGATTTTTTTTCTAATTTTGACATGTAATTTGATACTTTTCAAAACTGATGAGAGTTCTTATACGTCTTACTTCAAGTTGGTATTCAGTTGCGTAAAGTAAAATATCACATAACTGTGTTGATTTTTCGAGAAGAAACCGAGAATAATAATGAGAGACAATAGCTCTCTTGTGAAACTCAGAAAAAGACTTTATTACGCTAGAAAAAGACACCCATACTCGAAAGAGTAAATCTAAGAAATACCAATAGATAGTGCAGCATGTATAGATTCTCAATATTTCTAGATATCCATACAATATTTCAACAATCCCACTTATCTAAATAATATTATTGCCTAAGCCTTATTCACTACTGAATTTTGAATGCTTTGGTCAACACATCTGCTAACATTTCATCTGTGGACAAATACTTGAGATTAACCAGTTTATTTTGGCAAAGAAAGAGCTTTGGTCAACACATCCGCTAACATTTCATCTGTGGACAAATACGTCGTAAATAAATTCCTAACAAACCTGACAACAAATTTTTGAAATGAATAGCTTGTTTTGAAGTCTCTGTTTCAGCTATATACTCAGCCTCGCACTGCTCATAGCCACAGTGGTTTGTTTTTTACATCCCCATGAAACAACACCCCCTGCTAATTCAAAAACAAAACCAGTAAACGAGCTTCTGTCACACACATTGCTTGCAGAATCAGAATCCACAAAACCCATCAATTCCAAATCATCGTTTTCATATTTTAAGGATAATGATTTTGTATCTTTCAGATACCTCAAAATTATCTTAGCTCCTGTCCAATGTGATTCATTAAACTGGCTAACAAAATTCACAGCAAAGGTAATGCCCGTCTCGTTGATACAGACAAATACATTGATCTTTCTAATAACTGTTGATATGGCAGATCCTTTCTACAGACATTGGTATCTGTCTCAACTGATGATTCCCCCCCGAAAAATATCCTGGCCACGCCACTGCTTCTTTCTTCATATTTTCACGCATTGTCCTCCACTTCTGAGCTATGGTCCAAATCGAGTTACTCATCGGGACTATGCCACACCCCCCCCCTAGAAAATACCCTGGGCTCGCCAATGCTTCTTTTGTCACATTTTCACGCATTGTCATCTACTTATGAGCTATGGTCCAAATTTCGAGTATCTATCTCGTCTTGCTGATAACCCCCCCCCAGAAATGAAATTCTTGGCATGCCTTTACTTCTTTTTTAACATTTTCACGCATTCTCATCCACATTTGAACTATGGTCCAAATTTTTGAGTATCTAGCTCATTGGGACTGATGACCCCCCCCCCAAGAAAAAATCCTGGGCATGTCATGGCCTTTTTTTTTTCATATTTCCATGGTTTATTGTCCACTTCGGAGCTATGGACCAAATTAGAAGTATCTAGCTCATCAGAACGTATGACCCCCTAGAAAAATAAACCGTGGCCACGCCCTGATCCACATTTTCACGCATTGTCATCCATTTCTGAGCTATGGTCCAAATTATGAGTTCACCAGGACTGATAATCCCCCCCCTCAGAAAAAAATCTGGGCACACCACTGTCACTTTCTTCATATTTCCACGAATTGTCATCCACTTCTAAGCTTTGGTCAAAATTTCGAGTATCTGGCTCATTGGGACTGATGACCCCTTCCCCAGAATAACCTTGGCACGCCACTGCTTCTTTTTTACATTTTCACGTATCAACCATTCTAGAACACGTGATTTTGACAAGGTTTCTTGAGGGGCACACAAACAATTTATTAGGTTACCTTTGATGAGCATAGCCCTGGCCATCCCTCTGCCACATCCACAATATGATAAGAGTTTCACCAAACAAAATAATGAAATTCTTTCTGTTTCCAACTCGGATTCCAAGGAAAACGATCCCACTAATTCTGGTTTTATATGTCGAATCTTGACAAAATACAATGTTTGCCCCTCAGCAACCTGTCAAATGACGTAATTCTGGAATGATTAATTGTCATCCACTTCTGATCTATGTTCAAAATTTCAAGTATCTATCTTTGGCCAGATAGTCCTGGTAACTAAGGCCATCCAATGAAAGGGCCGACTCCCTGGCTAGACAAGGAGCAAATAGCTCAGCCATTGGACCAGAACCAATCTTAGGAGTTTCCAGATCCTGGAGCGTCTCAACCATGATGAAAAGCTTGGAAACGAAATTCCAGGAGGTATGGAGAGAGACTCCAGGCATGAGACAATCGAAACTCCATATCGAAGGCCCTTCTATCAGAAGAACCAAAACGTTGCTCACACTGAGCAGAAAAGAAATAAGAATAGTGGTAGGGCTCCTCACGGGTCACTGCCATCTAAACAGGCACCTCAACATTATGGGTATCACTGATGATGCTGAATGTAGGTGGTGCCTGGAGGACGAGGAGTCAGCTACTCACATCCTCACGGAATGCCCAGCAGTTGCAGCAATACGGGGAGCACATCTCGGGAACATCGTTTTGGAACCAGAGAGTGTGAGAAGGGTTTCGTTGAGAAGGCTGGTCTCTTTCGCCCGCGAGATTGGCTACCTTCAAGACTGAACCAATTCCCAGCAGAGGTGGGTGCATAACGGGCCCGAACTAGGAGGCCTACATGCTGAAGGATCCGTCCGCCCACATAGTGTAATCTACCTAAGGCCATCCAAATCGAAAAGAAGAAGAAGTATCTATCTCTTCGGGACTTATGACGACCCTCTGAAATAAAAACTGGGCACGCCTCTGCTTCTTTGTTCACATATTTATGAATTGTCATCCACTTCTGAGCTATGGTCCAAATTTCGAGTATCTGGCTCATCGGGACTGATGACCACCACCCCCCTTGAAAAAATGCTGGGCACGCCACTGCCACTTTATTTTCATGCATTGTCATCCACTTGTAAGCTATGGTAAAATTTTTCAAGTATCTAGCTCATTGGGACTGATGACCCCTTCCCCAGAAGAAAAACCTGGGCATGCACTTCTTTTTTTACAATTTCACCTATTGTCACCCACTTCTGAGCTATGGTCCGAATTTCAAGTATCTAGCTTTTCGAGACTGATGACGGGAAAATACCTAGGCACCAGATTATTATGGTTTAAAATGTCAAATATTCATCAGACTAATTGAGGTTAAGGTACCTCGAGCTCTGCCTGGACCTGAACTAAACAATTTTAACATGTATTGGAGAAACAATTTTACAATAAACCATTAGGGAATTTTTTTGTTAAATGTATGTCTATTCCTAATTCCGTTTGTACCATAATGATGTCGTCGATTACTAATTTTTGGACCTTTTCATAAATACTTGACGAGTAAGTAATCTACACTTTTTGATTTGTATTTTCGAAATTTTATAAATTTTACTTACTTGCAGGTATAGCACTGACGATAGCATTTTAGCCGAAAGCGCTTTGCGATTTTATAATAAATTTCACACGAGATACAAAATCTCTTCATTTTATTATTGTATATCTTCATTTCTAGTTAAACATGATCTTGAAACTGATAACTGTATGAAAAAGATACATTTAAGTCACTATAATAAATTCCTTTTCGATTTCTCTCTAGGTGCTTTTGACTATTACAAATACAAGACTCCAGTCTCGGCGTTCTCTCCTGAGAGCCAAACCAGTTCCAACTCTTCTATCATCCAGTCCATTTCATCGCCATCCAACATGTCCGCCCTGCAGCAGAGACACAGCACCCTGCACGAGCTGCTGGTCAAGCGGGACCACTACGGCTCGCCGGACACGTCGGTGTTGGGCCAGTCGTTCCCGGAGAGACACACGGATGTGCAAGGCCGAGGTCCAAAGGCAGCAAGGTATGGACACAGCCTCAGACTGAATAACAATAGATATACATTTCAACTACGAAATAGCTACAATGCTCAAAGTGGAATGAAATGTTGAATAAATACAAAAAGCTCAAAGTCATTTCCACACAATGTTCATAAAATGAACAACAATGGTAGATTTCGGGTGAAAAACAACTACTTTCCTCAAGGAACAGCGATTTTTTAGTAATGAAAGTGTGGTTAATTTCTGCCGTCAAATTGAGAAAGAAACATGGCAAGATGTATACCTTTCTCAGAGCATAGATGAAATTTATTCATGTTTTATGAAGATTTTCTTTTACTATTTTGACACAAACTTCTGCAAGATAAAACGCCGAATCAACAGGGGTGTCACGGGAGCCACTTTTAAATCGGAAGAAATTAAAAATATGCAAGATCAGCTAGTACTATTCCAGAGCCTATCAAATTTAGATTCAAAATACAAAGATATATACAGTAAAACAAAAATTGGTTACAATAATCTATTGAATACGTCAAAAAGACAGCATTACATAAATAAACTGAATCACTCGGACAACAAAATGGAAGCCATGTGGCAGTCAGTAAAAGAAATAGTACAGCCAAATAATCATAATCATTTTCAAACAAACAACCCATATAATAAGGCAGAACAGTTCAATAATTAATTTGTGAATGTGAATGTGAATGAAAAGTTCCAGATATTTGCAGAGAACCAGCATGGATATCTTAAAAATAAATCAATCGAGACTGCCTTATTTCACTTCAGTGTCGAAGTTTTGCAAGCCTTGGATGACGGAGATCTCTCTTGTGGCATTTTTGTGGATCTCTCCAAGGCATTTGACTGCATCGATCATAATATTTTGCTAGATAAACTATATAAATACGGTATACGCGGTAACTCCTATAATTGGTTCAAATCATACCTTAAAGATAGAAAACAAGTAGTTGAACTATCATCTGAACAGGGTGCAGTTAGGTCGAGTGCCTTGGAGATATCCATGGGTGTCCCGCAGGGCAGTATCCTGGGTCCAATACTTTTTGTAATTTTCGTGAACGACATAAAAAATGTAGTAACTGATTCTTCCACCAAAATTTTAAATTATGCTGATGACACTAACTTTTTACTTAGGGGTCCCAATTTTATTGATATCGTTGAAAAAGGAACGTTGATAATGAGGAGAACAAAAGATTGTTTCAATGAAAATAAGTTGATGATCAACAATGAAAAAACGGATTGTATGTTGCTGAGAATCAACAATATTATTGAAAAGCCACAATCTATCAACATTGACAATCAAAACATCATATGTAACAACACTGTCAAATTTTTAGGGGTCTATATAAATGACAAAATGACATAGACAACTCAGGTAGAAAATTTGTGTAATAAATTGTCTTCAATTACATATGCTATAAGAGTGCTGAAACATAATGTTGACCAAAGCACTCTGATCACAGTTTATTATGCAAATTTCTATTCGAGAATGAAATTTGGGATTGGGACATGGGGAGGTTGCGCGGACTTGGATAAAGTTTTTATAAAAAGTCCTCAAGATAGACCTATGCAACATCCGAGGGGTCTAAGTAAGAACATCAACGATGTCCATCGACACCTTCAAATTGAAAAGCCAGACATATTGGCTCTTACTGAGACACAGGTCAATTCATCCACCAATACGACCTATCTGCTCTATCCTGGGTACGAACTCCACACACGTTTCAGATTCAAGGGAGGTCTCTGCCTCTACTCTAAAACGAATCTCTCATGTCAACGAGAAAAAACTTTGGAACCAAATAAGTTTGATGTCATGTGGTTCAAACTCGATAGCCAGAAACAGACCAAATACCTTTGTTGTCTCTACTTATCACCAAATGATCCATCCTATGAAGAGCTCCTCGAATTCTTGTCTCTGAAGCTTGACCAAATTCAACAGAACCATCCAGCAGCAGAAATCATCATCATGGGCGATTTCAATGTACACAACACTGCTTGGCTCGTACACTCTAACAGAACGGGTGAAGCTGGGCGACAAGCCGAAGCTTTCGCCATCACTCACGGCTTAGAGCAGCTTATCAAAGAACCCACTCGAATTCCCGATGCCAATAACCATTCAGCTAACATACTTGACTTATTCCTCACTAATAATTCAGCACCCTACACCATAGATGTACGAGCTCCACTTGGCAATTCTGACCACACACTGATCTCCACAACCTGCCCATTTTTCATTCCATCAACTGCTCCGGCACCCCCACGTCTTATACGGCATTACAATTCAGGAGATTGGGACGGTCTCCGCATGTTTTTTTCCGAGTTTCCTTGGCATAGAGTATGCTTTGACTCTGAGGACCCTTCACAGTGTGCTGCGGAAATTTCCGAGATCATCATGCTCGGAATGGACACATACATACCTCATTTTTCGAAAAGATCATCACCTTCGAAACCCTGGTTCAACAAAAACTGTTCTAGAACTGTTGCCTTGAAACAAACAGCCTACCATCGCTGGCGCAAAAACCCTAACCTCGCGACTAGAGCAGAATACGTTGATGCCAGGAATAACTGCAGCCAAACAATAGATGCTTCGAAAGAAACATACAATGCCAAGATAAGATCGAAACTCATAGATTGCCCCAATGGCTCCCGTTCGTTTTGGTCCCTTGCTAAAGCGGTCGGAAGAAATTTCACTAATAGTTCATTTCCACCACTGTCCAAATCCGACGGCACATTAGCAACAACATCGCAGGAGAAAGCGAATATTTTAGCAGAGATGTTCGCAGCAAACTCTACTTTAGATTCCCAAGGAAAACTGCCGCCAGACATATCACCCGTTGAGAGTCGAATGCCCGAAATCGTCTTCCGTCAACGCACTATAAGACGAATTTTGCTTGGTCTCAAAACGAATAAGGCTAACGGTCCTGATGGAATTCTACCCATTATCCTCAAAAAATGTGCACCAGAATTAACACCGATTCTCTGCAAGTTGTTTAACATCTCGTACAGGTCGGGTATTTTTCCATCATGCTGGAAGACAGCTAGAGTCCAACCAATCCCCAAAAAAGGGAACAAGAACCTGCCCAACAACTACAGGCCCATTGCCCTGTTATCAGTAATCTCAAAAGTGATGGAGAAAGCCATCAATATTGAGCTTATCAAATATCTGGAGAGCTCAGGAATCATCAATGATAGACAATACGGCTTTCGCCACCGAAGATCTACTGGAGATCTACTTGCCTACGTCACCCATTTATGGCAATCTTCAATAGAAAAACACGGGGAATCTCTAGCTGTCGCGTTGGACATATCGAAAGCATTCGACCGTGTTTGGCACGAAGGACTCCTCCACAAACTACCATCATACGGCTTACCACCTCAGCTATGCCATCTCTTATCGAGTTTTCTTTCAGGCAGATCGCTTAACGTGGTGGTGGACGGTGTATCGTCTGATACCATTGGCATCAATTCCGGCGTTCCACAAGGATCAATTTTGGCACCAACATTATTCCTGCTTCATATCAATGATCTGTTGGGAGTAACAACTTGCCCCATCCACAGCTTTGCAGATGATAGTACCCTCCATACTGCGTTCTCTTCCAGAATTCCCATTTCTTCCCAGGAAACTAAGAACTCACGGCGCAGGCAGGTCAATGCTGTCAATGAAGATCTTGCTGAAATCACATCCTGGGGAACGAACAACCTAGTTGAATTCAACGCCACCAAAACTCAAGCCTGCATTTTCTCTAGAAAGGCGGAACTCAGTATGCCCGATATTGTAATGTCTGGCTCCACCATCCCCACCAAGCCCACCATATCTATGCTCGGTATTTCCATCAGCAACACTCTTTCATGGGATAATCATGTCAGATCCATCGCAAAAGCTGCATCACAAAAACTCGGATTCTTGTTCCGTGCGAAAAGCTACTTTACACCTCAACAGCTTCTCATGATCTACAAAGCGCAGATACGGCCTGTTCTAGAATACTGTTCCCACATATGGGGTTCAGCACCAAAACATACGCTGATGCTCTTAGATTCCATCCAGAGAAGAGCCATTCGCCTGGTGGGTGACGCCACACTCACTCACTCTTTGACATCATTGGAACACCGTAGAAAGGTCGGCGACCTTTCACTTTTCTATCGATACTTCCACGGGAAATGTTCTTCGGAAATCTCTGCAATCATCCCTTCACTAGCAATACCAATCAGACGAACTAGACAAGCCCAGTCAGCACATCCTTTCGTTGTCAACCTCGAAAGATGTCGAACAGCACTTTATCAAGACTCCTTCATCCATAGAACGGCTAGGCTCTGGAATTCATTGCCTGTGGAAGTATTCCCAACAACATATAATCTCCAAAAATTCAAAAAAAATTCCAATACCTACCTCCTGTCCCTATCCTCCCTAGGAACGCACGATGTTCTTTGAACATTATAGGGATTCCCTTTCGTGCGCTCCAATCGATAAAAAAAAAAATGCCAGAAAAAGGTAGTGAGGATAATTTTCGATTTGAAGATAGATGTCTCATGCTGGGGAATATTTAAAAAAAATAACATGTTAACTGTACCAGCCTTGTTTATTTATGAGGCTATCAAATTCCAGACCACACATGAAAATCATTTCAGCAGTCACAAAATGAATCATGAACATAACACGAGACTAAAAAACAACTATAGTTACCCAATCCACAAAAATCCACAAAAGTGTATTTTCGAAGTCCACTGTACAATGCAATAAAATGTTATAATAATCTTCCGGATGAGATAAAAGCTATGCAAAATTCCAAAAGATTCCTTGGCTCGGTATGGAATTACTTACTCAGTATGGAGCCATACTCAGTCAGTGATTATTTTTAATCTGTGGTAATGTTTTATTTCTATGCTTATTTTTTTTTTATGAAATGTTTATACTAGATTTTAAACTGTATGTATGTGACTTACTTCTCAGACGCGTAAGACAACTCTGTAGAAATGAATAAATTATCTATCTATCTTTCAATTGGAATAAATG